GACGTGAGTACAATTATCATTGTGTACAGTGTGAGGAGTACCGGTGGAAATTCCCGGTAAGAGTTGTCTCAGAGCCTCGACAGGCTGGGGAAGCAGCTGAGAGACAGCTGTCTGTAGCACGTCCAGGTGACTGGTAGGGCGGTACCTGGAGATAGATGTTGTACACGGGACCACACTGTAGTTATATATATGTATGTTTATATATATATATATATATATATATATATATATATATATATATATATATATATATATATATATATATATATATATATATATATATATATATATATATATATATATATATATATATATATATATATATATATATATATATATATATATATATATATATATATATATGTGTAGACTGACTCGAGTATGTACCGGTCAGTGTAGAGATTTACCATATAAGTGATCCAGCCTGTGGATTCTATATAATCGTTCAGATTGGATTAATGCCATAGAGTACCGTAGATAAATTATAATCATTAGAGGTAGGCAGGCCAGGTTGCAGGGATGTCAGTGGGTACCCTGAGGTCTGTGTAGTTAGAGTTACATTTACCTGATGATATAATTTTCATTGATTATGTGAATGCCATTTCTATGTGTTCATTTGCATGCTTTATATACTGTGATGTGTGGTAAGTCAGTAGATGTGATTGCTGACTGATTACCTAATGATGTCATTAGCATGTGGGGTATGCTGATGGCATCATTATGTTGCAGGTTTGTGCAGTATTGTTATCAGTTTATACGGTATTGCTGCCCTCGGAGCGGTGTTGATGGTTTAAGGGACCTCTAGGATTATTCAGGGGAATTCACAGTGCTTAATGAGAGCAGGCAATTGATGGGTTAATTGCCTTGCTGAGGTAAGAGTGTGTTCACAGTAGTCCTTTGCAACGGTTGCAAGAAAAGGGGGGGGGCAGTAATATTGGTATACTCTTGTGTGTTGCACAACCGTGTGTCATTATTGTGTGGGCACAGTAATTAACGAGTTGCAGTAGCCGCAACCATATGTGGGCAGTGCATTTGTGTTGTTGCATGCCATTGTAGTGTGACCTATGTAACATTGGGGTTACTTTGTTTCTTTAAGTTGTGTTGAGGACTTAAGGATTCAGTGAGTTAATAATTGGGGAATTAACTGGATAAGGGGTGCACACTTATTGTGGAGTGAGTGAGAGCTGTTATGAGAGAGAACATCGTTGAGCTTGAGTGAGATACGTCTCGGGAGTGGGGAGATACGTCTCCCCACTCTAGCTAATTATGTAATTAGCCTTCTCATCATGAATTCACGTAGTGGGAGAGGATCTGTCAGAGTCTGTCATTATTTGTGTTAACGTAATTTGCTCGAGACTAATTACCTTTCTGGGGTATAGCAATTAGTGGCTCATGTTAATTAGTGGAGTTATTAACATTGGAGGGCTCCGATGACCCGGTAAAGCGAGGTCATGGAGCTGGCATAAATCGTTGTATTAATCATATCCTGTCTGAGGACAGTGGATTAGTGGCACATCTTGTTAATTAGGGGTAATTAACTCCTTTCCCGTGAATTCACAGTGTTTGATGAGTCCTGCTTAGGCAGTGCGGAGTGAGACGTATTTATGGATGATTAATTATCGGTCCTGGTGACAGTTAATTAATTACTCAGCATTAATTAGGGTAACTAACACTCACTAGTAATTTTTTGACACAGACTGTTGAGAAGCTACCAAGTTAGGGTAGGCTTAGTTAACGTAACTCAATGGGGATGTAATTAGTTGTCCGTTTGACCTTAATTGAGAATTACTCACTGAATACTTGCAAGGAGTCAAGTGTGATGTAATATAAGTTTGAGTTATTGTTAACAAGAGAGACAAGTGTTAAGGATTAACGTAGAGTATCATCATGATGTTGTCTAGTGTGAGACAATTGTTTGTGATTACCGTAGTACTTTGTTGCTGACTGCTGCGATCAGTCAATTAACGTAATTAATCACTTAAGGCAATTTTTTTTGGTTGTCGTCTGGTGACGAGAGTAGAGTAATCTAGGGATTTGTGGAGCTGTGTCCCAGAATCCCGCCTTGCCTGTCTTTGTTATTATTTACAGGGCAACGTTTTGTAGGGAGTTGCAAAGAGTGTTCACACTGGGTTGTGATAAGGGGGTTCACTGTTGGACTACCCGCCTAGTTACGTGGGTCTCTCCTGGGGGTCGGGAGGACCCCTAAGTTTGTGATTATAGTAGCATTCAGGGAAACCGAGACACTATTGATTGCATGCTTGTGTCTTCAGTGGATATCCTTCATTTGTTCAGTTAGTTCATGTTGTCAGCCCGAAGTGTTAGCAAGATGGAGCCTGCTGTCACTTCTCGAGGGGCTGTTGAATAGCTGTGTTGCAAATGCCACTTGATGTACAATAACGTAACCATTCGCTGTGGTGTAACTTAGTCTGTGATATTTTTCTTTGATTTGCAATATTGCATCATCAGTGGGCACACCTGTGTTCAGGTTAGTTCAGTATGCAGCCTCACAGCAAGGGTTGCTATTTAGGTGTTTGTTATCGTGCCACTGGATGGACATTAATGTAACGTAAACTCGGTAATGTAGTAGTTAGTCTATTGTTATTAATAAATTGTTATGTTATAGAAAACGGTCTTTGATGTCAACCCTTCAACCATATTATTCCACCATATTTCTGCATATTATTAAATGTTGATGTGATCTTGAAATGACGGCTGTTCTTGGGAATTCGAATTACAATTCATAGCGCCACATCAAATATAAATATTTGATTGTGAGAACCCGTCGGTTACCCTTTATTAGTTTTAACGTCCTGTTTAACTAGGAGCCAGCGGCCTATTGTGGACAGGTTTTCACCCCTAGTGGTGGAGGCCTGGAGGTTGGCTCCCGCTTTTCCTTTTTCTATTGGACTCATGCTTAACTGCCGTGAGCAGACTTTAAACTTTTAGTCCACCTCCTAAGGGAGGTAGGCGTAGAAAAAATTCTCACATAAATAAATCCAGGAGTAATTTGGTTGCACGACTCGAGCTGGCTAATCCCTTGACACGGCCGTCAATAGCTCCAGCATAATCACACCTACTCAGCTCAGTCCATTAGAATGCTGGTACATTACCCACTTATTGAAACAAGATGCAGCTCACTTGTCCAATTCATACTCCCACTTCCTCCGTGACTGTAGAACGCACAAACAAAAGCATGTTACCTACACTGTTTTCCGGGCGAATGATACCTCCTCCTCCTCCTCGCGAACCCGATAGCGCTGGTGTACTTCATACTTGACTACCTCGATGACTCCCACTTGACACTGAGTCATATCACTGACTTAAGATTCTAGCACACGTGAGTTCTCGCCTGACTCCATCCGGGTAGCTAAAATTTCACCTTTATCTCTGCTTTCTATGAAATCCCACGTGTCTCTCTCTTGTACACTGCTGTATTTGTACAAACACTGGTGATTTAGGCTTGTCCTTGAACCGTTGATGGTGTAGAAGTTTTCCTTTTCTTCTGATGAAGATAAATCCTCTGGCTCTTGCACTACCAGGTGATTCGGATCTAGAATAGTACTGGTGTTTAGGTAAACTATTACTCTGAGGACTGAGGACAATGAGGCCTTGCCTTGAAGCTCGTAAGGCAAGCCTCCTCTCCTAGAAAGTCCTCGACCGAATGGTACTCTTGGGTACTTCACGTGCTTTCCAGGACTCCGTGACGTCATCACTTGTTGGACAATTACAACTCCAAGGCCTTCCCGCTTTTTCTGTAAACTCATACTGATTGGCAGCGGGTCCAGGGTGGCGTTGGTATATGTTTAGTTCCCCGGAGTCTCACCAGATGACGGCACTGCGTCTGAGAGGTGGAATGACGGGTTGGGGTCAACTCCCAACTGTATTGGGTGGGTGGGGAGGGTGATCCAGTCTTTACTACCCATTACTAACTTGTAGCAAAAATATCTCCCCTTAGCTAAGGGTACTTTCTCTCTGGTACTGTGACTCTGCATTCTACATTGCAGCAGAACCAGATGCTTCATATCAAAACTTTTCTGGACTCCTCATGCGAAGACGAATCCATAGGCACCCGAAGTAGGTATCACAGAATAAAGTTAAACTTTGCTAACACATATGCAAGCAATAAGTTTGTGCGCTGAGAGATATGTTTCTCACACTTAGACAAAGCCTGATCTCGGCCTTCCACAGCCGAAGCTATGGAGCCCGATCTTCCAACACGGTCTGACTCGAAGACCTGGTCGCCCACCTCACGATTCTAAGAGGAAATATGATTAGAATTATACAAATAAGTAGTCCTAGAAAGACTTCGCTGCCAAGCAGAACAACCCACCACTGAGTCTAAAGGCAGTCAAATCACAAGGGCAAGCAACCTGAGGGGTAACTGGAACAGTGAAGAGCCAACTGGTATCCCAGGGACTAGTAGAGATACCAACCCAAAAATGCCCACTCGAACCAGTGTCTAACTAGGTGGGCTAACCAGGCGAGCCAATTGATACAAGTGGGCAGCACTGAACCTCCCGTCTAACCCCCGTCCCCGCATCAAAAAAGCGTTTTCTCCCGTCCCCTCAGGGGCTGTGGCCGCTGGGTAATCTCAACTCCCGGATGAAGAACAATAATGTAGTGCACGTGTCTCCACACACTGCTAACATATGTGGATGTGATTGGGTAGTGCCCTGGGACTGCAGGCAGGAGCACCGCCTCGCACCCTCGGGCGGCGCACAACACAACAATACGGTAGGCATCATTTTATATTATAGGTATTATCAGATAAACTATTGTTTTCTCTTAAAATTCAGTAATTAGTTCCTTTCTTTCGCAGACGCTATGTTAATATATGTATTTATGTGTGTAATGTGAATGCATTGTGTTTATTATAAATGTATTTTGTTTGTATTTTGTAGCCAATGTGTTTACTAACTTCAAACAATAACATAAAGATCAATGAGAAAATCCACAGGTACCGTGATGAGGATTCGAACCTATGCGCTGGGTATCCCCAGATGCACGCTCTAGAAGACTACGCCACTACATGGTCAAAAGAAATGCAACCTGGGGTACTACTCGAGGCAACCTCGAGGCTTCCCGAAGCTTCCACTGAAGCCAAACCAGAGTTTCCACACATGCAAGCTGGCTCTGTCGTCAAGTAATTCTACCTCTGACGCCTCTCATTCAATGCACAGATAAATCACATTATCGTCTAGCGTGTGCATATAGGAATACCCAGAGCATAGGTTCGAATCCTCATCATGGCTTCTGTGGATTTTCACGCTGCTATATCGCGATAATGTGATTTTTCTGTGTATGTAAATCATTGTTGTTTTCCATATACTAATAATGAAAGGCATTCTGATTAAAATATTTGAAGCAGAAACTTATGTTATTATTATTATGTAAACTACGTCTCGTCGCACCTGGAATTACAGCGTAGGAAAACTACTATGCAATTTCTATTGCTCCTATTGCCAGCAATTTCCTCTAATAGCCAAAGGCTGCCAGCAGAACAGTTGTTCATGTTCAATGTCATCATTCCATCTTTCACCAGTGTCATCTGTCAATCTTCCACTAGTGTCATCAGTCAATCTGCCACCAGAGTCACCATTCCACCTTCCACCAGTGTCATCATTCCATCTTCCACCAGTGTCATCATTCCATCTTCCACTAGTGTCACCATTCCACCTTCCACCAGTGTCATCATTCCATCTTCCACCAATGTCATCATTCCACCTTCCACCAGTGTCATCATTCCATCTTCCACCAATGTCATCATTCCACCTTCCACCAGTGTCATCATTCCATCTTCCACCAGTGTCATCATTCCACCTTCCACCAGTGTCACCATTCCACCTTCCACCTGTGTCATCATTCCATCTTCCACCAATGTCATCATTCCACCTTCCACCAGTGTCATCATTCCATCTTCCACTATTGTCATCATTCCATCTTCCACTAGTGTCATCATTCCATCTTCCACTAGTGTCATCATTCCATCTTCCACTAGTGTCATCATTCCATCTTCCACCAATGTCATCATTCCACCTTCCACCAGTGTCATCATTCCATCTTCCACCAGTGTCATCATTCCATCTTCCACTAGTGTCATCATTCCATCTTCCACTAGTGTCATCATTCCATCTTCCACCAGTGTCTTCACTCCATCTAGTCAGTTGTTGGCCAAAGAAACTGTTTACATTAAGAATCAACCTGCCATTTTGCAAGTCGTTGGAGAAAACAATTGTTTAAGTTCAGTATCTGATTTTCATCTATCCAGTTGTTGGACAAAACGATTGTTTACTTAGAGCACCTACCATCCATCTAGCCAGTAATTGGACAAAACATTTTGCTAAATTTTAGTGTCAACCTTCCATCTAGCCAGTTGTAGGAGAAAAAATAATGCTTAACTTTAGTACCATACTTCCATCTACCATGTTGCTGGAAAAAACAATTGTTCAAGTTTAGTAATATGCTTCCATCTAAGATGTTGCTGGAAAAAACAATTGTTCAAGTTTAGTAATATGCTTCCATCTAAGATGTTGCTCTACAAAACAATTGTTCAAGTTTAGTAATATGCTTCCATTTATCAGATTGTTGGGCAAAGCAATTGTTCAAGTTCAGTAATATGCTTCCATCTACCAGGTTGTTGGACAAAACAATTGGTAAAGTTTAGTAATAGGCTTCAATCTACTTGGTCCAACAACAATTAAAGCTAATAAACAATTAGCTGTAATGTGACGTCATGGACTACGTTCCCCAACTGTCTACAACTACAAGAGCACTAGTTTTAATGTACCGTCATGGACTACTTTCCCAAATTGTCTGCTTTTAGTACAAGAGCCGTCGGTATAATGTTACGATATGGTCTACTTTCTAGACCTGTCTACAACTACAAGAGAAGTCCCTGTGATGGGATGTCATGATTTTGTTTTTGCAGTTATGTATTTCTACCTAATCAGTTATTGCAATATGACTTTATTACAATATGACTACTTTCTTTAACTTTCTACGCATTTCTACTGTCCTAAAAATCCTTTCTACTGACTTTTCTACTACGTTGGTTCCACTATCCTGTACTGTCTTCTACAAACACAGGCGACGTAATGGGGTGTGTGCTGACCAGCATATATAGCAGGCTAAATATGATGAAAAACAGCCAGTTAAGCTAGAGTGTTCACTGATCACACTGAACATGCATCACTGGAGACTCACCGATGACTTTAAGTGAACTAAAGACATGCATTCAACGAAGTTAAGACAATACCTCAAACAAGGTGTTGTTTGCAGGTGCTAGTAGTTAGTAATGGTGAGTATCTGGGCAGAATCAGGCAGCAAATTGATGGTCGAAGTTGAGCTTCACGGCGTGTTCCTCCTCAGTGCGAGCCAGCAGCGGTGAGTGAAGGTGCACACTCACCACGGACAGTAGCAGACTGAGAGTGAGCGACTGACCGGCCCTCGCTTATATTCCCAGCGGTTGATGCCAGACACCGCTTGCCGCACTTGCATGTTTTCCGGAATTATCTTCACAATAATATTTACGATATTCTTATATTATGTATTAATGGAAAATCTTGGGAAATCTGCTGAGTTGGGAAATCTTGATATCACAAAATTCTAGTTCGGTAACATGTTATGAACCTGACGCCCTATGAATAAGAGAGAACGTTTGAATGTTTAACGTTGGAGGCGAGGACTGGCCTCACACAACTTTGACATATGAAGCATATGGAGTATGGGTGTGTCACAGGCCAGTCAGGGTGATGTGTAATAAATGAAAACTAGTTTGATATCAATCAAACTTTTTGACAATTTGTATATGAAAAGGGTTTCATCTGGTCCAAGTTTCAGCATCGTACCGTAAATAGGAAGGGAGAAAAAAATACTGAATTATGGGTCAAAAAATTTCCAAAATGGTCAAAAAAGATTATCAAACAAAAGTGTCAACTGAAATAATGTCTATGACTCTCAGCTATCACAATAGCATATATTAAAAACAAATTATATTTGGTTTTATTAAAACAAAATTTTTATTTTTCCTTTTTTTAATTGTATTTTTCTTATTTGTTTATCGGGCGATTTGCATGAAACTTATATACCTGACAGCACGTAAGTCTATCTACAAGGGTGTCCATTTTGGAGGAAATTGGGCGATGTCAATCTTAGCCACAGATGGCAGTACCTTATACTTAAATATTTTAAATATAAATTTTTCAAGTTTAAAACTCTTTCATTTTTATTCAATTTACATGAAACTTTCATCTTATATGTAAAGTTTATGTCTCTAAAATCTGTTGGAAGCGTTTTTTCCTAACTTTATTTATTGATTTTATATATAGCATTAAACATGATATATTTGCATAATTTTTGGGGGGAACTTAGACTATTTGTATTAGGAAAACTAAATATTTTTGGAAAATCCCCTCCAACCGAGCTTTTATTATATGCTAATGTGTCAGAAAAGTGTCATAGAATGATTATATCTGAAAATGTGAAAGGTTTGAACTCATTTGAAAATGTGTAATATTCGTTGAAAAAAAAATAAAATAAATCTCCCTTTCTATTGAGGCGTTGTTAAGTACTAAACTTGGAACAATTGCAGCCCTTTTCACATACAAGTAGTAAAAAAATATTGGTTGACATTGAACAACTTTTATGAAACTATTCTAACGGCCCCTTCAGAGCCGCTCTAAGCACTCTAAGGCTTTAGTGCATCTAACCAACCCTCTTGGTTCAGTCTTTATGCACTTAAGTCTAAATATTGGCTGTGTTGACCGTACACTTATTTGGCATATTGAGTGCTTCGATATATAATTTTTTTTGAGACAGAGTGTAGGAGAGAGAGAGAGGAAGAGAATGAGAATGGGGAGAGGGGGATGTTTGAACAGAAGGAAGGAGAAGGGGGGATGTTTAGAGAGGGAAAAAGTATTAGAAAATTACAGAGGAGCAGGCAAGGAAAAAGGGGAGGTGATAAAGGAGAGGGGAAGGAGTGAGACCCATTCAAGTTTATGAGGTAGGAGTTCATAATGGAAATAATTAAGCCTTCTTCTTAATCAGAATTGCATTATGCTTACAATAGGATTCTATTACAAAAAAGGTGGCTGTTAGCCGGACCTCACCATTTACCTCTGACCATTGATGTCAAGTATTACAAGACCACAGTACTCCCCCTCTGACTCTCCACGGGCTCCAAATCATCAACACACCACGTTCCAAGCCACTGGAGTTGTTGTCAACCTGGCGTGGAGTGAAGACCTGGGTGTCGCTGCTGACATAGCTTGTGTCCTGTGTTTCTGCTGAGGGGCCCATGGGGCCGTGACGGTCTGCAATCATGGGAGGGGGCCTGAGGCTCCCTGTCACCAGGCAGGCCTCCATTGGCCTGGAGTTCTCTGGGATTGCTTCTTACCATGCTGTGGAGGCGGTGATGATTGATATGCTACGTGTCCCAGTGGAGTCTGCTCATTCGATCTTCCTGGAGATGGTGGGTCGGTGACCGTTGTGGAGCCACGACGTATATGGCAGTGCATGGGATGCCTTTTGAGTTCCCTGAGGATCTCCTACGTCATTACTTTGCTGAATTGGGCGGGTCCTACATGTGAAGATGAATGCCGTCCCTACCGGGAGATGGAAGGGGGTTCCCTGTGGTACCCGCACTCTCACCATGCGCTTCCGGGACCCTGTACCGTCCTCCATCATGCTGTTGGGATTCCCGATTCGTGTTTTTCACGCTGGACAACCTCGGACATGTTTCAGGTGCGGCCTACCTGGTCACCTGGCCGCGGGGTGTGAGGAGCGCCGGGTCACCCATGTTAACCTCTTCCAGGAGGAGGATTTTCTCCCGTTGTCGGCCCCGGACCTGTCTCCACGTGCTGGATAATGTGTTGATTCCCTGCTGGTTTCTGCCCTGGAATTGGGTGGTGGTGTGGATGTTGACGTGGGGTTTGGGGCGCCCCCGCCCCAGCCGCCGGCTTCCCCACCTCCGACGTCCCTGCCCCGGTCCTGCCTGCTCCGTCCCTGCATGCAGCGTCTACTGTCCCCTTGGATGCCCGCGGCAAGGTGTCTCTTGCGGTGTGTGGTCCGGTGCCCCCGGCCGTGGAGGCTGTGGTTCTCTGGGGCCGGGCTCTGAAGGCGCGTCCGTCGGAGAGTTCTGCTGTATTACGGGATGGTGAAGGTGATAGCTCGGATGACCGACAGCCCGTCTCCAAGCGCTTGAGGCGGGTCCCGAGTACGTCTCTCCTTCGTGGGGTGCCTTGGGTGGAGGTGGGAGAGTACATTGATCCGGCATTTCCCGCTGAGGTTGGCGGTGCTGTGAGGGCTCTATGCTGCCTCCGGAATCGCCCCCTATGCCTACTGCTGTTGGCTCTCCACGGTGGGAGGTTGCTCCTGCCGAGCAGGATTTCGTCGTGGTCTTACTGAAGGATGTGTACCAGGGGACCTCTGTTCCTGTGCTCGGTGGTGGGGGCCCCGACTCGTCTGCGTCCTCTGCGGGTTCCCCCAGTGTGCAGCCCGTGAGAAGCTTCGTGCGCCCACCAGTACAAAGCCTTGTGCGAAACCCCCTAGTTTGGACCTCTTCCCTGTGATCGTGGCCGACGGGGGCGTGGTCCCTTAGTCGCATGTTTTGGACCTCGATTGGGACGACAGGGTGCGTACGGGCCCGTGGTGCTCGTCGACTATATGGGTACCGAGGTTAAAGGGGTTTATTTATTGGGTACCTGATTGGATGCCTCGGCCTTGTGCGTCTCCTGGTAGACCGGTGTCCGAAGACGTCCAGCTAGTCTGAGAGGCGTACTGCTTGTGCTTCCCGGCACAGGAGTTTCCGGACAAGTATCGATAGACCTGTGTTTGATTGTACACTCCATGTCTTTAAACAAAATGTCAGCTTTTAATGAATGCATAAAATTGCTTACTGTTGGATCTTTTAACAGATTGCTATATGTTGTTATTATACTGTTTTAATATTATAACCAATTATATAAGGACTGTTTGTTTTATTATGCACCCTTAGTAGTTACATACCAGCACGATATTTTACTGTGAATGTCCTTATTTGTGTTTAACATTAAACTATTTTATTGGCTAATAAAAAGTAAAAACGCATCTGAATCTTTGCTGGCTACCCAGGAGAGGAGTGAACATGAGAGAGACCAGTAGAAGCAGTCAGTTATATAATTTAACATTAAAAGAAAAACGTTTGTTTTAAAATGTGTGATACGCTTATAATAGCAGCATTTTTTTCATTTATTATTTGGCAAATTACAATTTCGTTTCTTAAATTTAATTTCTAAACCAAAGCTAGTTGTTACCTAAGTGTAATTACCTAAGTGTAGGTACAGGCAGAGAGTTATACTCGTGGTGTCCGTCTTTCTTGCATTTTTTTATCGTATAATGCTTCTTTGAAACTACTGACGGTTTTGGCTTAACTTGACTCACTTAACTTGTTCCAACAATCTTCCACTGTTTGCGAAGGTGATTTTTTATATATTTCTTAGACAGATTTGTTTAGTTAGCTTAAATCTAGACCCTCTTGTTCTAGAATTTCCATGTCTCAAAAATTCTTCCTTTTAAATTTTGTCGATTCCCAAAACTTTTTTGTACGCAGTGATAATATCGTCTCTTTTTCTTCTGCCTTCTAGTTTTGGCATATTTAATACCTCTCCTCGTAGTTCTTGTGTTTCAGAATTACGCGCTTCTCCTCACTTGCGAATTCGACCAACGTTTGCAAGTTATCCTTTTGGCGTACTGAGTAATCCTGTACCCTTAGGAAGAATTATTAATTGTTATTAGCGCATATAGGATTAGTGTAGAACTTCTTGGACTGTTGAATTATTAGAGATAAGTTATATGGAATTAACTGACATCTAATTGCATGTCACGAAACTTCTGATTACTTGTAGCAATTATATTTCTCTTAATATAATAAATGCTACATCATTTAGCTGCATGTCTTTGCACCTTTTCCAGTTTGTTAATGTGTTTCTTAAGATACTGGCTTCATACAACTGCTGCATATTACAACTTTAGTCTCAAAAAAGTCGAGAACAATTTCATTAGTATTTCACTATGCATTTATTAAAAAGCAATTATTCAATTGGAAAGTGTAGCATAGGCTCCTCTCACAATGTTCTTATATGGTCCTTGGGTGATATTCTTATATGTAACAAGACCCCTTACTTCGCTTTCTTTATCAGAATTCTTTTAAGTTTTTCACATAATTTGTAGGTTGTGTCAAGTCTATTTTCTCCCACTCCATATTACATTACATGGCATTTATTTACATTAAATTCCATTTGCCAAGTCGTGCCCCATACACTTATTTTATCCAGGTCTGCTTAAAGGGTATGGCAATCATCTATGTTTCTTATTGTCATTAGCATCTTAGCATTATCAGAAAACATGTTCATATTATTCAGTATTCATTCTGGTAGCTCATTTATGTAGACAATAAACATTACCGGTGCAAGAACTGAACTCTGCGCTGCTTCTCTCGTCACATTTCTCCAGTCCGATACATTGCCTCTGATTGCTGCCCTCGACTTTCTGTCGGTTAGGAATTTTTTCATTCATATTAGAAGCCTCCCTGTCACGCCTACAGCATGTTGCAGCTTCCAAAACAACCTTTTATATGGGACTCATTTAAAAGCCTTTTTTGTACCAGATAAATGCAGTCAACCCTAACAAACATCTCTTACCTGCAAAATCTCTGTGGCTCTATCATAGAAACTCCGTAATTCGTTGCAAATGCAGGATTTTCCAGATCGAAAACCATATTATCTGTTATTATATATTTTTTCTCCAGGTGTTTTACCCATTTGGTTTTAATTATTTGTCCAGTATTTTCACTATAACACTTGTCAACGATACAAATCTATAATTAAGGGGGTCTTCCCTGCTGCCACTTTTGTAAATTGGAACTATTTTATCTTTTTTCCCTATATCTGTCTAGGGCATCTGTACACAGGGATGACTGAAAAATAAATTAAAGTGGTTTTTCATTAACCTTGAAAAATCATTTGAATAGTGTAGGTTTATATAATCACTATATAATATTTTTTCGTTAATTCCCCCATTTTTTTCCGCTGACTTCAGCGTAGGTATAATCCAACAATATTATATATTATATGAGTACAATCTATATAATACCACATATTTAATTAAGAGCACACGAAGTTAGTAAGAGGAATTATTATATCCCTAAAAATCATAATCTTGCCAACTATTGGTTTATAAGAGATTAGAAATATACAGTGAAGAAAAGGAAATATTGTAGATGAAAACTAGATTTGATAAGGTTACTGTCCAGGAGTAAGGCTAGAAGGACGTTGATATCAATCTTTTCAAAGTATCTTGTTATCTTGAGGTTATCTTCAGGTGATTTCGGGGCTTAGCGTCCCCACGGCCCGGTCCTCGACTAGGCCTCCTTTTTGTTACACATCCCCCAGGAAGCAGCCCGTAGCAGCTGTCTAACTCCCAGGTACTTATTTACTGCTAGGTAACAGGTGCATCAGGGGTGAATGAAACTTTTTGCCCATTTGTCTCCGCCTCCACCGGGACTCGAACCCGGAACCTCAGGACTACGAATACGAAGCGCTGTCCACTGAACTGTCAGGTGCCTTAAGTAGATACCAAATACACCTTAAATGGAATTATTTAATAGTGTAATTTGATTGTTTGGATGTAACAAACGCATGGGGGAAAATAGTACTGCTAAATTAAGTCAAAGAGATAATAACAAAGAAATAAAAGAAAAATAATAAAGATATCCAACAGAACATATATTCCCGAGAAAAATATAGTCGTGCATTGTAATAACAAACATATAACTATATAATGCATAAAATGTGAGGGCACCTGCAAATAATAATGATAATAATAATATTATAAATATAAAGGTGAGAGAAAGACCAGGTTTATGTACAAAAGGATTAACTAAACTTTCTCTTGTAACCTACACCCTTTCTCAAGGTACCGTATACAGTGTTCGTAAGCTGCTGCATACAATGTTCTCAAGGTTCTGTATACAATGTTCGTGAGGTTCTGTATACAGTGTTCTCAAGGTGCTGATTACAATGTTCTCAAGGTGCTGATTACAATGTTCTCAAGGTGCTGTATACAATGTTCTCAAGGTGCTGTATACAATGTTCTCAAGGTGCTATATACAATATTCGTGAGGTACTGTATACAGTGTTCTCAAGGTGCTTTATACAGTGTTCTCAAGGTGTTGCATACAATGTTCTCATGATGCTGTATACAGTGCTCTCAAGGTTTTGTATACAATGCTCACACGGTGTTGCATACAATGTTCTCAAGGTGTTGCATAAAATGTTTTCAAGGTGTTGTATAAAATGTTTTCAAGGTGTTGTATACAATGTTTTCAAGATGCTTTATACAGTGTTCTCAAGGTGTTGTATACAATGTTATCAAGGTGTTGTATACAATGTTATCAAGGTGCTGTATACAATGTTCTCAAGGTGCTATATTCAATGTTCTCAAAGTGCCTTTGTCTTAAGAAGGGGAAAATTGTAAGTATTCTCTCAGACGACGAGTTGGGAGCAGGAGCTGAAGCCTCAACGCTCTGCCGCAATACCTATCGTCACCTTCGTCAACTATCACCAGAGACAAAGAAGATCATGACAGTTTCTGTGAATCTAGATAGATACCATCAACGTCATCTGTCAATAGTGGACTGATTATCGGGCATAACAAAGGAAGTAATGGAACCAGCGTGAATGATAGAAGACCTGCAGGAACCAGGACGAGGACCGACTACAGCAAGTGGGTCAACACCAAGGTAATACAATAAATAAGTTACTCACCGGTAATGGAAGTGTTAAGATAGACGATGATCTAGTGCAATAGAAGACAATGCGACGAAACTAG